TGTGGCCGAAAGTTGTCGAGGAACCAAAGACTCGAAACCCACTTGAGTTGTGTTCATTGCAAAGGTGAGAAATAACACAAGCCAATCACAATTTTGGGGGCTGTCCTGGTGTACCGGTACACGGGGGAATTCCTATTGTTTTCATATCCACACATGGAGTTGTGACACATTCGTTAATGTTTCGTTCCTTTGTGTACCGGTACACGAGGACACAACCGTCAAAATGACCTCTTTTACCCTCATTTTTGTAATAGAAGCGGATACCACATTAGGAAATATGAGATACATAGATGATCCCAGCGTACCAGTACCTAAATCAACAAAGCTTGACAGTAGCAAGCGTTCAGCAACACGTTCCAACACCGCCATCTCGATTCCTCAGTCAGTCGTTAGTTCCACTGAACTTAAAGCAGTGGTGACAACGGAGTAGAGTGCGTCTTATAAAGGAGAAACATTCGTACATGAGACAGAAGTAACTATATGCGATTACAGAGGTGCGTTGGAACTCTGGTCCACAAATGGTTATGTACTGTCTGAAGTATAAAACAATTTTGTTGATAGCTGACAGACAGAGAAGAACAACAAGTAAGCTTTAGAGCTGTTATTAATGAGGTGTGACTTGCACTTTTCATTTGTATATAAAGAAGGACTTGTATTTTGCACCAAAAATAAAAAGAAGTAATATATTTTGGGAGATCCAGTGATTGGGACAATTAAGAAATTAAGTTATGAAAGCAAACTCAGTTTGTACTTCTCACTACTAACAAGTCTTGTTTTAAAAATATTTTCAGATCAGAGTTTCAAATAAAGTAAATTGAAGAAGTCATTTAAAAGGTGTTTTTTTCTCAAAGGGAACAGTGACTACCTCTGTATTGTCTGCATGCTAAATGTTTGCAAAGTGTGTGGATGATCTACAAGTATTGGAACTCTTACAAAAATGTCTTGTAAGAATAAAAACAGCAAAACAAATTACACCAATTAGTCATGAAAAAAGAGCAAAAAACTAAAAAAAACAGCAACAACAATCATGAAAAAGGAGAGATTAATTAGGTGTTGAATTTGTTTGTCTAAGGCATGAAATTTCTACTACAAATAATGTTAACAAAAAGTCTCTGACAGTGTTTGAGGCAACTGAGCTTGACTATTCCAAGTTTGTTTAACAAAGGAAACCAGTAATGTGGATTAGGGAATTAACTTATGTTCATAACTAACAAAGTTCTTTAAGTGCAGATAACAATGTAATTATTGTTACACATGTGGAAGTTGTGTACCAAGGAACAGCTAATGAATGTTTGATGATTTTGGCACATCTGTGAACATGAGACATTTTGCATCACAGTAAAAAATTTTTATGATCATGGAATTCAAGAGTCCTTTGAGGTTAGAAAGCAAATCTGTGATATGAGTACATTGGATTAATTGGCAATTTGCATTTAACTTAATTGACTGCTGCTTCATGAGAAAATCCATATTAATGTAGAGATTTACTAAAACTTAGTTTGAATAATAAATTTCATAATCTTAAAGTTATAAACATATACATGTATGTATATCTCTTGGTAAATTTTGTATAGCATACCTTTTATTGAGCCAAAGTTCTAAGCCTCCAAAATTACTCCTTTTCTTAAAACCTTCACATTCAAGGAATTGAGAATTTCTTAGAATTTATGTGGACCTCAGTGTATTTAAATTGCCTCAAATTCAATTCCCAGAAATTCCTAAGAATTCCACCCTTCTTAAATTATAGGTAGTTTGTATAGCTGAGAATTTCTAGGAATTCCAAGTCCTCACAAAACTGGAGTTTTCCTTTCCCAGAAATTCCCAGTAATTCCAAGCTTTTCAAATCAGAGCTTATTTGCATAGTTGAAAATTTTTTAGAATTCCTAGGAATTCCCAGAAAACTGGGAATTCAGTTTGCAAAGGTTATTTGCATAATTGAGAATTTTTTATAATCTCTAGGAATTCCAAGGAATTCAATTTGCAAGGGTAATTTTGCAAATCATATTTGATGGTTCAAACATGAGAACTAAAATTCCCACCACAAAGCTTGGGCTGCACTATCCTAACTTTGATGAAAAGAATCAAATAGTAAATAATTTGTACTATGTACATGTAGTTATTGACTAAGTAGAAGGACCTGACAGGAAAATAGTTGGCTTAAGGTCATGAAGTATGGACAGAGTGCAACAAGGTCATGACCAAAACATTATCCCATCTGGTAAAACCTGACTCAGTCAAGAAGTATTTAACTTACTAACTATAGGACACACAACAACTCTCTTCCATCCTTTCTTATTTCAGCTAGCATATCACATAGCTGCATCAATGGCCATTCACCTTTTTCCTGCCCTACATGTACTTGCACCATGACATACAAACTCTTATACTGGGATTTTTTTTGAAAATGTTTTTCATTGAAAGGATAGGGCAGGGTCTTAGGGTACTGATGGTTATATTTACATTTAAAATGAATTCACCCCATGATAATCAAACACAATACTTACAGGCAGTAATAAATTCAGTGATAGTTCCTCTCAGTAAGTTAGGTGATGATGTAGCAATGTGTAGTAGAAAAGGAAGAGTGGATAACTGTTCTTCTCTTTCAACATTGCACTTTGGAGAAGTTGTGATACTTTCCTGAAAATCATAAACACAAAAATTCTTGAAACCAGTCTTAATAAACATATTCTTGTTGTGGTTCAAAGATTTTTTGGGTTTTGAATTCTTACAAAGCAGCCAATTTTTTTACTTTGCTTTGAAACTAAGAGAGCAATAACATAACAAAAGCATCACCACCCCCTCCACCTGGGAATGACTTGCTGTGTATTCTTTAATGAGACCTGCAGCAAAAAAATTTGTATTTTAATATTCACTTCATAAACAATAGATTGTCAATAGAGAGTGATGTACATGAAGTTCACAGACAAATAACTACAAATCACATTTATTACCCTATTACAACTTCACCTTAGTTGTATTATATACAAACCAGTTTAGACACATGGTAAGCTTAAACAGTTCAATGGGTATTCACATGTGTTGAGAGGTGAATGCATGCCAAGAGTTGTTAAAAGAATGACTTAAACTCCATAATGGAGTTGCAGTGATTTTAACAAGCATAATAATCTCAGGAAACTCTGACTCTTACAGATATGGCCTACAAAGAACTAGTGAAGTATTTCTATGCATGGTGCCATGACCTATGTGCTAGGATTCTCTCCATAAACAGAGGAAAATCTTGTACACATACCCCATATGAGCTATAACCTAGTCCAAATAAGGAGAGCTGTTCATTGTTATTTGAAGCAGACACTGCACACATACATCAGCCTCACCACGGCTAACTCTGGCAAATAAAAAAATCAACAACAACAACAACAGTTGCTATTGATACAAAGTTAAAAATTGAACCAAAAGGAACTAAAAACTTATTGTTTAGTTGTTTGTTTTAACAAGCTATTAAATAAAAACAATAATTAACTGTGATCATGTTTACCTTCTGTAATGAAAACATTACATGTAGGTGATATTGCATTTTTAAATAACTGAATTATTCTTAGAGCTAAATGAAACACCTTATGAAGCAAAATTACCCTCAGGCCATTCTTACACAAGAAATAATATAATTATGTTACATTGCATGCACACAAACATACAAGTAGCTTACAATTTGGCATTGCAATGGACTGTAATATCCATCAATCTTTGAACAGCAGGAAATAACATCCACTTATGAAGACCCTCACTTAGAGATATGGTTATACCAGCAGCTGTAATGAAAATATAATTATTCATGATATTAAAAGAAGATGAAAGAAATTTGTTTTTGTTACAAGTATAGACATTTGCATGAATCTTTTCTCATGCAATTTGATGGGCAAAGAGTAAACACATTTGAAGGGTGTAAATATTCAGCACTCAAAGACCACTGCATAGAAATAAAGAAAATCAAATTATGATATTTAATAAGTGCATGATGCCGAATAATTTTAATTTATTTCCCTTATAATTTACTGGAAAGTGGTCCTAGAAAGGTTCTTGCTTATTTTAAAAAAATGAATTGCAATATAATATATGGTTATTTGTTATAAATATCTATATGAGTTGCATAAATACACTGCATTTGAAGATACCAAAGTAAGATTCTTGAAGAGTTTACTTTTGTTACAGTTAAATAATCATAAAAAAAGGAAAAGAAAGAAAAGAAAAAATAAAATAGAAATTAAAAAGGAAAAATGGAAGAAAAAAAAAACCCTACCGATACAGAGAGTCTAAGTCTTCTGATCAATGTAAGCTGATACTGTAATAGAATGATGGAATTTGCCCAGCTCAGGAAGAGGATAACAGCAAAGATGCCATAAAAAGACAAGCTGTGGCATTCATAGCCTCAAAATCAAGTTATCTAAACACTGTTGGTATTACCTCACAAATGAGTGGTGCCTAGGCAGTAGGGTTATATAATTATCAACAAATCTGCACACAACTTCACTGACATTTTGAAAAGCAGATATCAAGTCAGGGTCCAGGGTATCTGGATGACAAGCAGCTGTAGTCCCTTCAGTGCATTTTAAAACTTAACTCAAAATCGTTCTCTTTAAGCATTTGTTTGATCAAATGTGCTTTTTGAGACTTGAATATTATGCTTAGGCTGTCTCACCATCCATCCCTGATGATAGAACTTATTATGGTCTAAAGATGGCAGACACTACATGTAGCTCTCCACTCCACGACAGTGGCTCATTGACACTGGTAGACAAGCTAAGTATTAGGGCATATTCAACTGCTGTTTTAAATTTTTATTTGCCTTTTACCATTAAATATAATTGTCATCTGAACATGCAATTATTTCCATTACAGCATTGTATATTCTACATTGTTGATGTTATCTTGATGTTGACAGGCCCCTACTACAGCCATCTGGGGAGTTTAAAAAAAAAACTAAAACTCAAGTAACAGAAAGGATTGGTATGTTTACAAGGCCTTGAAGTCACGTTTAAGCCCATGCTAAATAATCAGGAATTATTGTCTGTGAAAAAGGGCCAGCTGGTTCTAGTGTAAGAGTATAGGTACCAACCCCCCCTTTCGTCTCCGTCCAAATTTCAAACTACATGTTCCTATACGATAAAAAAGGAGTAATTTTTGTGGTTAGACAAATTTCCTAGTTAGCTCAATTTCAGAGGTATTATCTGAAGCAGCACAGACACACTAATTCCAACCACAAACGACAAAATTAAGATCTTGTTACAAGTTACTCCTGGAAGGACGAGTAGTAAAACAGGGTTTGATCGCAGGCACTGCGGAAGAAATTCACCTCGTTAACCAAACCTTCTTGGAAAATGGAAAGGCATTTCTGCCGTTCCTCAGGCCCTACTTGGACAAAGAAATGATCTACGAACATCTCCAGGTGGCTTTTGTGGCCCGGGCTTGGCTTGTTGTCTTTAAACCAGACGTAATATGGGTTGTTCTTGTCGACTGAAGCGATGAGTTGGTCGGCAATCCAGGGCCATAGCATGGTACATGGTAACATGGCAATACACAGGTACTTGGGATCGTTTTGGCTCAAGGCACGCTCAAATCCCACATACGTTGCTGCTGCCGGCCCCATAGCCACGCTGTCTGTATTCTGGAGCCGCCATGTTTGTACAAAATACTGGTTGTAGCTTTTGTAACTCTCTGATTGGGTCCTGTAAAGTAAAGAGAATTCAGGTTTGCCAACTTCTTGCATCTTCTCAGCAGCTCGGTCGAAAGAATCCACTGCATTGAAGCAATAGGCAGCATCCTGCACCGTGTAGCTGCCAAAGACATTGGGGTCAAGTGTTCCTTTAACCATGCCCTGGATATACTCGGATTCCTTGGCCAGATTGCAGATGATCTCACTCTTTGGATCGTTGAACAAGGCGCTGCTGAAAGATCCTTCTTGTTTGAGAGAGGGTATTTGTGAAGAGGGAGTTACATCCATCTTGTCTTCCTTTCTCTGATTGTAGACGCTCTTACTCTTTGAATCGTTGGACAAGTAGCTGCTGAGAGATCCATCTTGTGAGTCATGGGTCACCGGTGAAAAGAAACTCAGATGAAATGTGACCTTCCGCGCTGTCTGGGGATTTTTCTGGTTTTCTGGAAGGAATAAGAATTCATTCAGATTTCTTACACATTTCCAGCGAAATGAGTATCAGGGTCAGAGCAGGAGAGGAGAGGAGGAGATTGCTTTTCATTTCTTAGCGGATAGCTTTCTCGTCTCGAAGTACAGCAAAACACGATCGAAATAGAAAGGGGGGGGCTGAGGAAAACAGACTAGCCATTTACTGTAAAGTAGACTTCAATTAAAACTTCGATGCAGATCAAAGAAAAAGGGCCACACTGACCGATCTACAACACATCTTAATGATGTTTACAAAACCTGGGAAAATTAGGCCGGCATCTCGCTTTCTCTGCCGATACTGTAATTTAAGTATTAAATTAAAAATTAACTGAACTATCAATTTTTTATTTTATGTGTGCAAGAGAGCTGGAAAAAGAGGAGCGGGCCATTTAAGACAGCGTCAAAATAGGAAAAATAACAATTTTGGTTTAAAAAAAATCGACTGACCTTTAGCGTCATCCATCATAGAATCTGAAAACATCAACGAAGAAAACAACTGAAAGAGAGCACACTGGAATTAGCAAAAGAGAGAACACTATCTCAAAATTAACCAAATAGTGTTCCATTGAGAGTAGCGGAATAGCGAACACTCGTTTACAATGATTGCCAACTCCATGCTTGATCATCAATTCATCAGTAGGCATATAAAATTAATACTATTATCCAAACTTAGACCATGTAGATGAGGAAATGCACCCTTTTATTGAGACTTAGTATGCCCATATCTCTGCGGGTCAGAACACTTTTTATTTTATCTTTGTTCAGTTACCCCAAAATGATTATTGGAAACAGGCCAAAATTACGTGAAGACTTGAGTCATGTTGGTTTCAAGTCGCCACATGATTTTCTAGAAAAAAATACCAAACATCTCAAAAGAGAACAGGTTATAGTTTACCGGATAGGTATAGATATCTATCTTCATCGAGAATCTTCAGGAATTGAGCTACAGTAATAAGGGATATTTTGGGCAAAAACAAAGTGTACATGTGCGTTATGTATCTGTCTTTAAAGGTCAAAAAGGTAAATTTTTGTCCGTTTACCTTGCACTGCTCGAAATTCCATATGCGATCGAACTCATGAAACAGACAACCGCAAGCACTTTGCAAATGCAACATTCCCTACTCCTCGAACTAGATACAGTGATGGACGAGGAATACACTTAACTACCACTTACGCAAAGATATTTGATCTTGGTTAAAGAAATTAAGGTTTTAAATCAAAACGGAAGTGATTCCTTGATAGACCTCATTTAGTCTAAAAAATGATATAGTGCGCTAACTGGGGTAGGATATTTCTCGAAAAAGAATTTCTATTTGGAAAAATGCAAAAGACGATTTCCAAACGAATGGAAAGGCTTTTCGCCTCAAAATCAGAAACGCCTCACGAAACCAAATTTTTCTGACTAGTTGTTATGCAAAGTTTAGAGCATTGGTTCGATTGTTTTATTTACGTCAAGTGCAGAGACAAGTTTTCTCAAGATGAAAAGGTAAACTAACGGAGTGGACCTCACTTTATCGTTTCAGCCAGAAGACCTGACTCACAGTAAAGGTTCTCTTAAGTAACTGCAGTGAGAAACATGTTCTATAACCACTATTAACTAAAGCTTATTTTACGAAGTTATTTTGAATTGACGTGAGGCAAAAACCCTTCTCATAGGGCGAATCGAAAGATGTTTTGATGTTTCCTGATAAAAATTGCCTAAATTGGGAAAAAAAGCGCTCTCGAAGGCCGAAATTAATTTAGTTAAATCATCTACTAAAATCATAGAGAGGGTCTACTTCCATTGATTCCATTGATGAATCTGTTTGGCTCTCCCATAGAGATAACCACCGCCATACCGACAACAGCACATCGATTGAAAACTTTTCGGTGGCAAATTTGTTATTTACTTCCTTCGAAAACGAACGTCAATGCTATGAAGTCGATAACGAGGTACATTGCTTTACGAGGAAAATTTCGATGGTCTTCCCCCCCAAAATGAAAAGATTAAGACACTTCTAGTTTCAGTTCTATAAATAAAATTTATGCGAAACAATGTTGTCGAGAGAATGACGGCAGGAGGCAATCTTGGCTGCTTTAAGTTAAACGGAAGTTGATAACGATCCTAATCAACGCAGTGTATCACTCAACCATTCTACCGAATTTAGTTTTTTAAGTAATACGTATGCCGAAGTAGATGTTTGATTACGAACACGAATTGCATATAACCAACGCCGCATTATTTAATCACGATCATTGTAATTTCCAACATTATTACAAGGAACTCAAAATACGTCAATTAAACAGATGGAAGTGTACCTTAAGCGCAAAGTTCCTCATAAATTATATAAATATGTTGACGTTTTTCCGAGAAAGTCATTTGACTGCCTGAGGAAACATTCAAACGCGTCTCGAACCGAAAGTAAGCACTCTTCTTCGTTATGTTTTTTGAGGGCATCTCTCTGGAATAACGACCCCATTAATTTCATCTGAAATGTTCTTAGAGTTCAGTCTACGGCCTTTTTCTCATAGGCTGTAAGGGCATTCAGCTAGTGCCACGCCTGAAGTCGCCTTCTACGCACAAAGAACAAATTTGTGCAGATGCATTCGCTGCTTGATCAATCAGCTAAAAAGTGAAATGAGAAATCAACTTACCAAAGCTCTTTGACTTTTCTCAGAAGTTGCGGAAGTTGAAGTAAGATGATCACTTAAAATGCTGAAGAGATGTTATCGGCAGGACTAACAATTCAGTGACAAATCTGTAGTTGCCATCCCACTGAATAAAACAACCCAGGGTATGAAATTGTGGATAAAGAGCCACACAACTGTGTGCAAGTACTTCTAAAATTAACTTTCTTGTGACATGCGTATCGTACCGTATCTCCGAAAAAAGCAAAAAAACAACAATTGAACTTCCGTTGATTCCAGTTATTGTGTTTGATAATAAAGCTGCACGAAAACAGGAAGAGGAACGCTCTGGTTATTTTTGGAGTGGAGGATTACGACCACAAATGAACGCAAAATGCCGTATCTCCGAAAAAAAAAAAAACTTTTGTTTGATAATGAAGCCGAACGAAGATAGGAAGAGAAATGCACCAGTGGGTTTTGGACTGAAAGATCATTTCTTCGAAAACAATGACAATAAACGCCGTGGCACACTTAGAGTGAGAGAGCCCGCCACACATAAACATGATATTTTATTGCTTATCAATCTGTCTACATTTTCCATGTTTCTGTTAGCGTCCCAAGTTCCTGGTTCCTCCGTCATACGTAGTTGAACAGTTCAAGGAAGAGATGTTCAAAATATAGTTTTGATGCTGGCTTAAGACCTGATATAGATTATGGCGGACACTTCAGTTGCTGCAACTCTCTTGATCTTGAAAATGAGAGTTAAAACAGATGGTGAAGTGAGGAACTAATCTCGTACTCAAATGGCCGCGGAAGGTCCGGATACGAGAGTAGTTGGGAACCTAATAGTAGTAGGTTGTATTAAAAAACAAACACAGAAACATGTCTGTTTTAAACAAGAAGTGGATTTATACTAAAACAATCAGATTAATCGCTCTTAATTTTTAATCGTCTTTAAAATCTTGATCTCATAATCTAATTGTTATGAATAGTTTGAGCGGGTAGTTTCAGATGTTTTTTTTTTTTTTTTTTTTTTTAATTTATTGAATTTGAGGAATTCAAGACAAGGAATTTCTTTGCTGGCACAAATGTTGTCCTTTGCCCCTTAAATCCGCAAAGTTTTTATGGTTCTGTCTCTGTTTGGCATGCTCAGAAATCCTGTTGACAAAAAAAAAATAAATAAACAGTTGTGCCTAAAAACCGTTTGAAGTTGCCCTTCAGTAACATGTTGCTTAAATTGATGATTCAGTTGAGGCCTTGAGAAAATGTCTTTCCCTTTTTTCCAAGCTTTCGCCGATCTATGGCATTGTCAGGGAATGTAAAAAAATATTCTTCTGCGAGATATTAAAGCGCTGTAGTTGATACGAATAATTATATATAATGTGGACAGAGTTGTCCAAACGAAGCGATGGTAACATAAAATAACACAGAAATTTTGCATGAGTAATGAAAACCAAAGACATAAGCAGTTTGAAATATAAAGTCTCTGAGTTTGATACATTACTCCTTTTTTTACTTTTCCGTTTAAATAAAAGAATGCACATAAACGTAATCAGTGATCAGTTTGCAAAGTAACACTAAACTTTTGCCATTAACAACGGTTAATTCTGTTTACAAAGGTAAGTTTCGAAAAGCACACTCATATGAAATATTCCTCTGCAGTTGTGTTTTCCGTGTTTTGATGTTTCGATGAAGCGAAGTTCCGCTTCCACCCCTCCCCCCACCTGTTTCCCATTACGACTTTGCCATCGACTCAGTGTGAACAATAATCCACAGGAATTAAGTATTTGTCTCAGGAATTGTTTCGTCTTAAGTTTAATAATTTGTTGTGAGATATTCAGTGACAAAACTTGTCGTATTCCTCAACCTATTCAGACGAAATACAAACTTAGCCAGCACAAACTATAATAGCATTTCATAACTTCCGTTTTATCCAGGGTTTCTTCGTGTAAAATTAAAACTGGTCCTGTTTTGAGAAATTTCGTAAAAACCTATCATTTTTAACTAGACTCTTGGTTTGCTAAGCGAAATACATTTTCAAAAATAACTTCAAAAATATCATATCTGAACTTTTAAACAGATATTTGGTATGTGAAATCAACATTAAGAAAAAAATTTAAGTTGGAAGATAATATGGATTGGTTTTACGTGGGATTGATCGTCTGTTAAGAAAAGCCAACGAAGCTCATAAAATAAAAGCCTTTTACTTAGTTCCTCATCGAATTCAGGGAAGCTTTAGTCCAAGTTTTCCGCGGCAAAGCCTTATTCTTATTGTCTTTTTGTTGAACGCAAAAATATCAAAATGATCCTAATTAATGTTTGAGCAGAGGTTTTCTGTAAACCACGTATTTAAGGTATTACACATGAGCTTTCACCTTTTATCTTTCCTGTTGGTTGTTCATCGTTGCATCTCCTTTGCAAAACAACTCACCATCTATGACATAATACGTGTCACCAGTCTTCAAGAGCCTCTTGCAAGTGATGCAAGCAAAGCAGTTGACGTGATAAATGTTCTGACCGCTTCGTAAAACCTTGGCAGTTGGGGAAATTTGTTTTGCACAGGCTGCACAGGTATTAGAAGAACCGTATAACCTGCAATAGTCGAACTGATCAGGCAATTTCCATTAATCGACCAGGCCACTACGGGAACCTTAAGAGAAACTAATTTAATTTACACTGCGTCACAGTGAAGTGCGCATCAAGTACGATCAGTTACCGTCAACTTTTTTTTCTGGCCGTTTAGTTCACATCGAGTTCCAAACCGTGCGCAACGGCCCCCCCCTCCCCTTCCCTCCTTCAAATCTTTATTGCGTGTAATATTCATGCGGAAACCAGGTTTCCACTTTAACAAAATAATATCCATGAACACTAAAATAGGTGCAAAGATGTTTTTTTCAATGAAAATGCATTGATTTGTGTTAAATGTTTGTATATAGCTGAAATGATAAAATACGTGACCAAATTTCGAGGCTCAAGAAACGAAAAGAACAAAAGCAAGTTCAACAGCATCACCTCTTGAAATACAAAGCTTGACTCTGCTCAGTACGTTCAAGAAGATAGTCTGCTGAGACTAGACTCAAACTAGAGTCAGCGAAACTGAGAGTTTCAGTTTCAGAGAGATTGATTGTGTAAGAATTACCATGTACGTCCTTTGTTAAGCGGTTTCGGCGATGAAAGCAAGAAGGCATCCAAAAGATGTTTTCAGTTTCTCAGGAAACGCGTCCGCTACTGACAGCCAGTTTTGATCACTTTAACAAAGTTCCAAACAGATAAGTCTGTATATATATATCTCTTACCAACAAATAGAAGATTATTTTTGCCGCATTGCTGATGTAGTCAATCGTTCCTTACTAATTATAACACACTCCAGACTTATTCAGCAGTGTTTTCGTTGGAAGAATAGCAACCTTTCAAATCGTTTCGAAGTAAGATTAACCTTTAATTCCCTTAGGTTGGTCGTGCTAGGTTTCAGCACGTATTCGCTGAATGATTTAGATAATCACACATTAATGCGAAACTTTACCTTGAATAATCATTTCTGCAGAGTATGGAAGTACCTTTTTCAAAACATGTTTTTCCTACTTGCTCTAAAATCACACCACACTGTGAGCACTTCAGACAAGTCGTATGCCAGAATTTATCGGCCGCTGAGAGGAGATATTTTTCTTTAATTTCCTTTTTACATCCCGCACAACTTCTAACCGCATTATTCAGCTTCGAAGCGCTCATCGTTACGAACTGAGACGGACAAAAAATTTGCCTGCAATGATATATTCAAGAAGTTATTGCTCGGGTTTGTTTTTCCAGACAACCCAGACGGTTAATCTTAAAAATAACCAAAACGACCTCAGCAGAATTAAACAACAAATAATCCAAAATAAACAATACTACTTCCTTTTCAGGAGAGATATGATGCAATGTCCTTTTGCATTTTATTGTAATTCCAATTCTTTTGTTTTAAATTCACGACTAACATACTTAGGATATTTTGGTACGAGGAAAAGTCTGAACGAGAGCTTCGAATGAAAATCAAGAACAGAAGCAAAGAATCATAAAGTGTGTTTTTATTTGAAGCACAAAGCGTTGCCCCAGTCCAAATTGAATGAAAGGCCAAAGGTTGTGAGAAAAAAAATCCAACTGTTCACGTGAGCTCTATCATTGTTACTTACAACATTTTAAGATTCTTACTGGATGAATTGGCTGTGACATTGTAATATTTTAGTCTGCTCAACTATCTACTTTCGGAACCAGCTGGTTAACATATAATTACCGCTTTTAGTCGTCCTTATCTCGTCTATAGGCATACTAATAGCTAAACACAATTTCTATTCTTTTTTTTCCAAGATGAATATCAAAACTTCCAGGGGTCTCGTTTTAACAACATGGCAAAGCTTCTTGAGAGTACATCTAAATAATATAACCCCTTAACGATAACAAGACCATAGCCACCCCTGTGTAACCTCTAGATTAACAGATGTACGGCGAAAAACATTGGTCTTTTTTTCTCAGAAAATAACACATTCGAAACATAAAGAAGAATAATAAACTCTCATCATACGCATCGCCGAATTCAATTCATCAATTTATAAAAAAAAAGCATTTCTCTTTCATTTCAGAAGCAAATACTTAATCCATAAACTTCAGCAACCGGATGACGTTCTCAAGGCCTTAGGTTTGTTGTCGTCAAACCAGCCATAATAGGGATAGTATCTGATAGGCTGGTCGGCAAACTAAGGCCAGAGCATAGTACAAGGTGACATGAGATCCTTGTTGGCTTAATTATCGCACTATCATATTCCATGTAAAGAGAAAATAAGGGGGCAGAGAGCTTGGCTAGAATTTGTTGTTACCCTCTCCCCTTTGCTTCTTTTGATTTTGGGCGACACAAAACGCCTCAACTCGAGACGTCAAAATCACGATCTCTAAGTTAAATGGAAATCATCTCGTCCCTTTTATGAAGAAGTCGTCGTCATTGAAAAAACATAAGCATGCGTAGCATGCAAGAGTTATTTTTTCGGCTGGGTGGGTTGAGATGGGACAGTTGTGTACTTAATGTTATCATTTTTGTCTCTGAAAAGAGCATAACTTTCAAAAAACGAACATATCGCAGAAAGACAGATAAAAAACCTAGTTTATCTGATTTCACACAGACATTGTGTGATCTACTATCTCTATTGTCTAAATATTTCTAAGTAAAAATTAAATTCATCGGTGCCACGCGTGTTGTTTGGTCTCGTAACACAACGCCCTCTATTTCCCGTTGCGTGACGAGACCAAATAACGGTTGCACCAGAGAGACTACCCTTACCGCCGCTCCTCCAACAGATAGAAAATCGAAGTTATTTGCCTGCAATTAGTTAAGTAAAAAATTTAGTTTTGCGTAATTTTACGACGAACCACTCCCCACTCCCCATTCCCCATTCTCTCTTTACGGTAACATCCGGCGAGGAACTGAAAAGATTCACATTGTGAAAGTGTTGTGTTGTGAAGTGCATATGTTTATCTTCTGCTGTCTTCTTTAGTGTCACGGCAGGAACTGAAAACATAATGCACTAGTGGCTATAAGCCTGAAATCACTAAAGGAGTCAACTGTGTATCAGGTGCGAATGTGGAACTACTAAGATACTCCAAAAAGTAAAATAAGAAGCACCAGGAAACATCAGGTCAAAATTGGGCCGCGATCGGATTTCTACTGTTACTTACCATCACTCATACTGACTCAGTGGCCTCGCCTCCTATTACAGTCGAACATGCACCGTATTAAATGGTCACCTTGTGTTGAGCAATCAGTTTTCAAAGATTATGAGGGTAATTAAATTGTCAAATGACGTTTTTTATCTTTTTTTATGATACCCCTATTCTGTGGAACTTGTATTTAGCGGTTTACCTGTATAAGTGGTCGCCACGCCGTTGCTCATGGGTGAGGTAGTAGCCGCACTAAGAACAAGGATGACAACATAAACTAGAAACCACAAAAGATGGGAACTCGACTGTGTATCAAGTGCGAATGTCGAACCACTATGAGACTCCCAGTGAAACATTAAGTAGCACCAGGAAAGATCGGGTCAAAATTAGATCAAGATCGGAATTCTAGATCTATTGCAATCATTACTCACTCACATCTCAAAGACACGTGTGGCCCCCCCCTTAGAGAAGGCAATAGCCACAAAAGTAAAAAAGATGCCATGTGCTGTTATAACAACCACTTGATTTACAAAAGGTGGCTACAGCTACACGTGGGCTTAGTGATTAAATTTAGAGACTGACAACCGACCGCTTCTTACAGAGTGACCGCTTAGGTTTACTTCCCACCTTCAGAGGCTGAAAAATTGTTTTTTCTTTTATTTGACTGAACTGGCTTCAAACATTTTACTTAACGTTTGCAAGAAGAAAAGTTCCCCCAAAGCACCCAAGTTATTAAATCAGGAAGGTGTAATAACTTCGTGCCTGGGCGAATCCCTTACCGGGTTTTTTTGCGGCAACTGCTATCCTAGGGCTCGTGCACTTGAAAAGATTTATACGTGGAAGCTCTTTGCTTATGGAAATATCTTTGTTCATGGAAAAATCAAAAGCAAAAGAAAGTCCTTGTTAAAAAAAAGAGAAAAAAAATCAGGTTCTAAGAAGAAAGAAATAATACCTTTCTGTCAAGGAAAAAAAAAATCTTGAGTGAAAGCGACTGGTACTTGCTGAGCTCCACGCTGGCGTCCAGATTACGAAAAAAGAGGTCGCGCCTCAACAAACTTTTTCATACATGAAGTTAAAAATGCAAGAACTAGCCTTGACACAAAACATTAACAATGGCCTTCAATCGTAATTTTGAAAGCTGTCTGTCGATTCGTTGTCTTGCTTCTCAGCACATTACCCAGTTTTTCTATTTTTACTGCGGATTTTGCTTTGCCTATTACGGTGTCGTCTTCCTTAACGCTCAGACATGTCTGCCATCGGTTACTTTTCCTTGGAAATCTTAATCCATCATAATTGACGCCAGGAGGTCCCGTTGTCCTATTGGTTTGCGATTTCAGGAGGCGAGATAATAGGGACTTCAAGTCTACGTTCGGCCCCGACGTGAAACGAGTCACTTTGACGTTGGCTGAAAACGTGAGTATTCTTTTTCGCCTTCTCTAGTATCTGTAAACGTTAAATATTCCTGGGAGACAATTAAAATTAAACTTCATCGCTTTTTTTTTCATAAAGTGAGGTTATTCTTTAATTTGATAGTTTGTTTTTACGCAGAAACGTCGAGACAGACACCATTTGACGAACATGTGAGTAAGAAATGTAATGTAAATAAGCTTGGCTCACACTGATATCAATCGAAAATTCGCCGCTGAGAATAACTCAAAAGTCAAACAGTTTGACAAAGAAAATATTCTTACCAGATATAAAAGGGCAGACAGCACTACAACTTATGTAGCCGTTTTGTTTTTTTTTATCTTCCAGCACAATTTTGAAGAATTTTGTCGAGCCAGTCTACCGAGAATATTTTCTTCCATTTTACTTTGTAGGAGTTTGAAATACTGTATGTTTAGGTTATATAACGTATTTTTGGGTTCAACATCACAGCGGCAGAGCCTGTTTTGAAAGCGAATCCAGTGGCTCGTTTATCTCGACAATCTGCATTTAGTGCAACAAAAACTTAAAAATTTTTGACTGCGTAACGCTTGTAAATATGTTCGAGATTGTAAAAGTGAAAATAATCCAATGCGCTTATAAAATAAAGAAAAAAAATATCTTGACGTTTCGAGGCTTCAGCCGCTTTATCATCAGCAGATGAAAGCATTTAATTAACTAATCTGTATTTTCATAGAAAGGGACAATTTAAAAAAGGTTATACAATTTTATTATATAGGTTTCGTGGCTCGTTTTTTGTGTAAATTAAACCAGCGGAACTTGTTATGAAACCACGAAAAGTTGCCCTGTATTCTGCGGGTTATCATTTTTTCTGAAGTTGAAAGGTGACCCTATGATAAGTGTGTTTTGTCAGCTGTTTTGTACTGGGAGTTGAATCTACTCTGTTTATGTTTAAGGTCGACTACTCTAATGTACTGGACGAAAGATCAGAATCTTCTTTTAATAAGAAAAGTGCTAACTGTTGATCCGTATAGCCAGCCAAAGGGAAGTAAGGAGAGAGCGAAACTGTGGAAAGAAACTGTCTTAAACCTGAGTGCAGTGTATGAGCCCCGTTTCTCGGTTTCTGTGAGGTCTGTAAGAGACTGTGTAAACCTGGTTCTAATAAAGAAACACAAAAGAAAGGTTGCAGAAGAAAGCAAGGCCAGCGGAATAGCAGTTGATGAGCCCTCAGAGTTTGATGCAGCAGTTGAAGAAATATGTGAGAAAGCCGAGGCTGCAGAGAGAGAGGAAAAAAAGCCATTGTAGACAAAGAGAAAAAGCAAGTGGAGGATATTAGGGCCAAGGCTTTGGAGAAAGTTGGAGAAACAAGAAAAAGAGTGGTCGGTGATGATGTTTGTGAAGAGCCCAAAAAAAGGAGTAAAGAACGAGGAGATCTGGAGCAGAGACCTTGGTATATCTGAGGGAGACGTCGGGAAAAGAATTCAATATCAGGCAAGAAGAGATAGAACTAAAAAAACAGGAGCAGTGTGCCCAAGCAAAGCGGCAAGAGGAAATGACACAGCAACTGATCCATCAACAGGAGCAGCAGTGAACAATGTTTGCTAACCTCCAGCAGCAGCAGCATCAGCAGCTTCAACAGCTAAGCCAGATGCAAATCACCATAATGCAGTAACAACAACAGAACCAGGCACTGGTGGCTGTGCTGCAAGAGCTTGCCAAGAAGAAGTAGGCAATGTTATGCTAGAGCTTGCCAAGAAGAAGTAGGTCATGTTACGATACACAATATTGAACGAAGGATAAAATTAAACCACAACATATACCTTTATCATGCTCAGAACAAAGCACCATTGTTTGTTGTTCTTTATTGGGTTAAGATAATTAGAGTTCATATTCAAAAGTAAGCATTTGGAAGGACTATGGCAATATGCCCTGGTGTGCCAGTCTTTTATGGTTGTTAGTGCTGGTATATAATTACACTAGTGATCTCTATGGTGATCCTTATCTCTTAAGTGACATTCTCTCTCAGGAAAAATACAAACTGATTCATGGCATGCGTAGATGGCAAATTTATTGCAAAAACTGAAGTGGCCAATTAGTTTTATTCTTGACCCGGTAATGACTAATGGATGAAGATTACTTAAAATAATTTTGGATCTGGATATTGGGTATGGCTTATAAAACATATGGGGTCACAAGCCCCCCTACCTAGGCAGAGGGGGTACATGGAAATGTGATTAAGGCATAGGGAGGAGCAAACCATTTATTAAGTGTGAAATATTCGATTTTCATATTTGCTTTGGTTGCATATTTGTTCTTTTTTTGTGGCAACAGCAAGATTTTAGAATTTTTGGAGAGGGGGGAAGGGGAGGTCATTTTAAAATTCAGACCAAAAGTATTTGGAAAATATATAGTTATTTTAGAGGTAGTATGACTTCATTAGTACCTACATGTAGCTCTCTGTAACTTTTATTTTAAATTACCCTTGGGGTCAAACATGAGAAAGGATATTATACTTCCCCCCTTCATCCCATCAACCCATACAGTAGAATGTATTAATATTCTTTAACGTATGGCAAGTCCTTATAATCCCTAGAATTAAGCAAAGTATCCTTCCAAGGTGGGTGGATCCAGCTCAAAAAACTCGGAGGTTGTGTTTCCTTATAAGCACGTTAATGCATTTCTTAATAAGGCACAAACATTGTACATCTTTCCTACTGAAGAAAGTCTAATCTTGAGGTTCTTTTTGAAATCTACTAACTTGGAGTACTCAACTATGTCTCCAAAGAGCCATTCTACAGAGACTCTCACAGAGCTCATACCCTTATTAAAATTTACCATCTGTGGAGTGAGTATCATGTTTCTAAAAGAGGTCTGGAGGCGCACCCTTAATGGGTAGGCGGGGTCTCCATAAACACAAAAGTAGATGACCCGCTGGCTCACGTGAAAAAGCATAGCGTTGCATATCTTGAAGAAGATTGAAGTCTGCTAGCATGGCAGCGTCGTGTCGTCTGCCCTCTATGAAATAAAAAAAAAAAGACAAATTAAAAAAATTTAGATTAAAAAATTTTCAGGTCTTTTACTGAAGGGTAATTTAATATTCCATTTCCCTTACCGATTGGTCCATACATATTTCCAATAATTCCATTTGGTAATGCCACGGATTGGAATTTTACACCGTGAACTCTTTTGTGACCATTGTAGACAACGTGCTGATTTTGGCCAGGCTTGCTTATTGGTCCAGCTGTCCCATCAATAAAGCCAAAACAGTTATCCAAGGGGGATCCCTTAGCTGTTATGGCATTATTGTATATTTCCATTGAATAGGGTTGAGGATGCTATCATTCCACTGCAAAATTCTGTGACTGTGTGCCTGATAGATGTAGTAGATCATGTAGTTGTTTATCATGCATAACACTGGAACAGGCTTCCCAAAGCGAGCTATCATGTCGCTTGGACCGAGAAATACAGATTTGAAATAATTGATGCTGTCACTGATGAACCAAAGGGCACAATCTTCTCAGTTATTAGCTTGATAATCTCTACAGACCAACGTTATTGGACCGAACGATCTCCTTTTTCTTCCTGGTGAGCTGGCCACCTCAGGGGAAAATTAAAGAAACCTTTAACTTCCTCTCGAGTAAATCACTGGAAGATTCCATTATATTCATCTTTCTTAAAGCTTGTAAGAGATATCCGGGAGAAAAGTATGTAAAATAATGGTGATGAAATCGCTGTTCTTTTTCCTGAAGGACATGAAGCAATCCAGACTACATATTAACCATGGAGAGTTTCGTTCAAGTGACAAGTTGCGATTTACGTGTGGATAATAAGTTGTTTGAAAGGTGGAATTATGACGTTATGATTTCATTAAATCTTTTATTTCGAACTTTGTTATGATTTTCTCTTTATCAAGACATGGAAGGAAACATTGATTGACTCGATTGCACCGCGGCGGTGATAAGTCTCTCCTCATCATATCTAATGCAAATTTTCTAACAGTTTTCTGACAGTTTTCAGATGATTCGAAATATCTTAGTTCCTGTCAAAAGGAAATGATAACTGCCCGAATCTGCTCTTCGTAAGGAGATGCCCAGTGTCGTTCAAATTGCTATTGCAACTTGGTTTTACATGTAGTACTGCCACTGACAAGTCACGATTTATACTCTCAGATTCTCAGTGTTTGCGAGCGTTCAATCGAAGTTTTCCTCTTTTTTATGGTTGTTTTTACTTCAGAAAGCGGAAATCTGCTAAAATATATGAAAAATATCCATTTCTTGTCTTCTTTGGAACCACTGATGGGAACTTCACGGAGAAATACAGCATCGTGATAACGTACATGTTTATGACAAATGACCGGTGTGAGGATAGTTTCGTGTAGATCAGCCGACTTCAACAGGTTTCAAATGGCATACAAGTATAACAGTGTATCTTCAGAGGATTTCGGATTGCTCAAATTCCCATGAAAGAAGGTGCAGCACTTGGAATCTAGACGATATGCACACGATTTGAAGTATATATTTTTAGTTACGTCGAGTTGTCCTCCATGAAGGTTGATCAATTTTTTTAAAAAGATGACAATCAGAGGCGAGATTTCTCTTCGGGATATTGCTCATAAGATAACATTCTTTCCAAGCCTCACACGTTTCATTTTTCTGAATCGTTTGTTGTTGAGAACATTAGATGTAAATATCGCCGAATTATGCAGTATCTGATTTTGGGCTTTTTTCGCGAATTGCCTCAATAAAAAGTAGAGGTAGGCCCGCAGAGAGTTTTACATATTTAAAAACTAGAATATTATAACCAGCTAGGTGGGTAGTTTCAGTTCCAGAATCGGTGTACTTTTGGAGAAATTCAGATAAACGTTTTCCGAGTTTTACCCGACAACAAAAATGACCGAAACTGTACCGAGATAAATAATCTATTGGTGTGCCAATTTGTAATGTTGTATTTAGCTTGAGATGGAGAAATAAACATTTCACTCTTTTTTTGCGACCTTTTTGTGTGAAAATGAGGCCCTAGGCCTCGAACAAGCAGGTCTTACAGAGACTTCTTCTTAAGCTTTCTTCTGACGTCTAGTTTGCTGGGATTTCAGAGAAACTAGCGCGCGTACGAATTTTTCCCGAGGGACACCCGCGAAGGTGGTAAGTAACCTCAATACGGTGCCGCTTACACAGGTCCGACGGTCATTTATTTCGGCTGTTGACTATAGCATCTACATTCACTGATTAGAACGTATCGTTGTTGTACGCGTTATGTCATCGTTCATACAGTTCCTATCGGGTTTTGCTTTGCTAGCAACTGTTCTTTATAGAGGCTGCCTTTCAAAGAAAAGGGAGTATTTCATCGCAGCAGTTGAGATGGATTGGAATTACGCACCTACAGGATTTAACAACCTTAATGGAGTTCCACTGGAGGACGACAGGTAAACATTTTGATCATTTTTGCGCCACTGTAATATTTTTCTTTGCAAAACTTGCAACTGCTAGCAAAACTGAACTTTCAGCATCGATTCAATTCAAATCTTCAGTAGGACGCTGTTTTTTTCCGAAGCTGCATTTGTGTTATTATTGATTACTCTCATATGAAGAAAGCGAATTAAAAACTGATCAAGAGTAATATATAGCTACCAGCCTCTGTCAGTCTGTTTTTTTTTTACCTTTGTTGTAACATCCTTTGTTAGCTTTTCAGGGGTGCGTGATCTGGTTCAATTTTGTTTACTCTGAGCAGATTTTTTAGCGAATTTTTGGACGTACCAAGATTCGAGAAATTGAATACCAATCAAGTCGCATACTAATTTAAACACATTCTCAGACATTCCCATTATCCTGCTTAACTGTCACTAATTAGAAGGTTAATAAACATTTTCGTGACGCGAACCCCCAAAGATCATATCTTGGTCAGATATTGTTCGAGCAGCGGTAAAGTTTCCGCACAACCCCATGCTATCGTAAAAAAAAATCTGTTTTCTCAATGGAAATGTATTGTTTTTTTCATTGTTTTCTCAATTCAAGAACTGATTGCATAATGTAGTATGGCCGGGGGCTGTGCGGAAATTTTACCCAAGCAGATGCCAACAGATTAAATCCAAAGTTGAAACAAATCCAATCAGAGAGCCTGAATTATTAGCATTCAAGATTCATGAGAATTGAATACAATTCAAGTCTCAAACTGATTTAAAAGCATTCTAAGACATTCTTGTTGTGCCGCATAATTTTCCATATTTAGAAGTAACGGGAACCGCTTAAAAATGATCTTGGTCAGACATTGCTCTAACACATGTCAACAGATTATATGCCGAAACTGCTTCAAAAACGAATTCCATCCATGTTTGGCAAGGTTAGCTGATATGCAATCGTTCACGCAAAATTTGTGCCAGCTTGTCAACCTTCACAAATCTTAGAGACGCATACCGGTTAAGAATTAAGCTTATCCATCATCTTTTATGTGTTTATTCATCGCCACTAATTACTACATACTGATTAGCATTCACTTCACAGCGCATCATTTGAAACAAAGAAACCTTTGATTATTACAAACAAGCCGCCTAAAATAATTACGTTAAAACTGATGTGCAGTTATGCGAGCCCCTAGATGTAACTGCTTAGCAGAGGTATTTTGTGGCGAGTGAGTGCGAGATTTTGTGAACGAGCTTGACAACAGTACACGGTTTTAAAAAGGCAAAGGTTACGCCTCCGTTCAGTGTCTTCTGGCATCCTCCAAGGGATTGTCTTGGAGCCCACGTTATATCTTTACTTTCTACACAAGCGATCTTGATGAGTGTTACTTGACTGCGATGACCGGAGATCGCCATGATGAGCTAGCCGCGTTTGACCTCAACTTGACACTGTCATGATTAGTATGGACTTCAACGGTTATGCTAGTTTGGCTATATTTTTCATCACCATATTGTTTTTTCTATTTTGTTAACTTCTCGCATTTTTCGTTTCCCTTTGGATTATCTTTGTAAAACTTTATCCCCATAAAGAGTCGAGCGGTGTACAGGTGTGGTTCTCAATAGAAACTCAAGGCACAAAATATATTTATCTTTTCGACTCCTAATGGTTGACAAGGATGGAGTAGTAGGCATAAATATACGTATCATATGAGCTGAATTTTCGGATGAATTTATACCATTGGCCCTGCAATGCAGAAATTTTGGATAAAGCAGCCTTTCGCATGTTGTGTAAATGGGACCTTCAAATAATCTACTTTTCCTTTCCAGTGATGGGTCTCAATTTACTGTGTCAGGCCATCACAGGATAGGACGGGTCTATCGTAAGGTCCTTTACAGAGAGTTCACCGATGGGACCTTCACGAAGCAAAAACCTCATCCAAAGTACTTAGGACTGCTTGGTCCCATAATAAAAGCTGAAGTTGGTGATACTCTAGAGGTTCACTTCAAGAACATGGCCTCAGACCGCCCCTTCACGATGCACCCGCACGGAGTCTTTTATGATAAGGCCTCAGAGGGAGCCCTCTATAATGATCATACTCAGGGAGACCTGAAAGAGGACGATCACGTTCAACCAGGTGGGAGCCGTGTTTATCTGTGGACAATTCCAGAAACTCACGCACCGACTAAAAGTGATGAGAACTGCCTCACTTGGGCGTACCATTCACATGTCAAACCCACTCCAGATATCAACACTGGTTTAATTGGTGAGTAGTTTACAGTATCCACTTATTTCAGTCCGTGGTGAATAATGTTGACGGTTCCTAAACCCAGCGTACCTTAAACTCAGTTTTTTTCTTATGGGGATTTTGTTTAACACTGTGGTCAGTATTATCCCCAGTTTGTTTTCAGTCTTGTAAAATATTAACTTTTTCTCTCGACGAACAGGGGCAATCTTAACTTGTAAGAAGGGAACCTTAGATGCAAACACTGGGGCTCGAACAGATGTAAACAAGGATTTCGTTGTGTTGTTTACTGTAATGGACGAGAACAAGAGTTGGCTTCTTGATAAAAATATCAAACAATTTTGCACTGATCCTGACGGAGCCATGAAGAAAAAAACAGATGGTGGATTTGTAAAAAGCAATAAAATGTATGGTATCAATGGCAGAGTGTTTGGTAACTTAGAAGGTCTGGATTTGTGCCTTGGAGACAAAATAAGCTGGCATATGGTAGGCATCGGCACTGATACTGACGTTCACGGAGGTAATAATCTTTTAACTTCTGTAAACAGTTTTACCCACAGGTGTCTCTCGTTCTTGAAACTTGTCACTTCGTCAATTTGTTGTTTATTTTTTTAAATTCTATTAGCTAACGTATTCCAACGAATCATTTGACAAATCCAAATTTTTTTCTCCTCGCCTTTTATTTCCTTCTTGTAAACCTGCTCTTCAGACTTTCATTGACTCCGCTCTCTTTGCCACACCTTTCTCACTCTAGATTCTGGATTTTGTATTTGTAATTCCGTGATTGGTGCATCCCCAATTAAACATAAGGGAAGCATTTTAGTGGAAATACTTTATTTAATAAAGGGGAAAGTTTCTAAAGAAACTGTGGTACTGCGTCGGTGGGAGAGTATTGCAGGTAATTTAGTGTTAACAACTGAGTTGAAAACGTAAATTAGCCACCGTAAAGGGTGAAAAAGCTGATGTTTCGAGCGTTAGCCCTTCGTCAGAGCTATTGCTGTGGGAAAAATTTATAAAAATATGGGGAAAAAATCATCAAGGCAAAAACAAATTGGCCTTCTTGTTCACGACATTTAACTTTGTTTGAATAATTACGATAGACCTGCATAGAGTTTCTTTGATCTTTTTAGGCCCCATCGCCGTAAAATTTAATAGCACATAGCGAGTCGGATAAAGTACTCCGCTGAGCCTGACCAGCCACAACCCCTCGTGCTTCTCCACAGGCTGGTCTCAGAGAAGTGTTTGCCACAAAAGCTTATCAAATTCCTATTTTTTAGTAGATCTAACAAAGTGGAAAATGGCTCAAGTCGAACAATATAGGGAGGGAGGTTGCTCTCATACCCTTGAACATTTGTGTGATGAAGAGTAATAATTACCCTTCTAAAAGTTGTGTTGGACACTTGAGTAACCATATATTGTATCCAATCCGCTGCAGCATATTTTCACGGCCAGACGTTTACAATTGACAAACATCTCAGAAGTGTTGCCACTCTTTTGCCTGCCACGTTTGTGACAGCAAGTATGACCGCCATAAATCCGGGAACTTGGCTCTTGAACTGCATGGTGACCAGTAACTACGACGGAGGGATGTATGCTTTGTTCAACGTAACCAAATGTGACCGCGACATTAAAGTACCAATCGCTAGCGGAGGTCGCACGCGAAGATACTTTATCGCTGCCGAAGAAAAGATGTGGAATTATGGTCCTAGCGGAGTAAACCAAATAACTGGAGATGATCTATTAAAGCCCGGGAGGTAACTTGGATAGATTTTTTAAGCGCGGTTATCAATATGTTAAAAGTTTGAGAAAACTGTAAGATGCTCTTCACAGTCAGGGTAAATTAATTCAGTCCAAATTAGCTTGATTTGGACAAACGCAAAGGTTCCATTCTACGTTTTATTGTAATTGAATTGTACCTGGTAGATAACGAAAACAGACAGAGTTCAACATCCAAAAAAATTAAAAGCCACATTAAGCTAAGTAACAAAGGAAAAAAAGAGGGCGATAAGTGTGATAGCAACTTCTTCTATTTTTTCTGATGTCACTTTGTTATCCAAATGCGTGTTTGCACTAGTGATTCTTCAAGGTACTTCATTAAGAGCAACAACAGAATTGGAGGCACCTACAAAAAAGCTCTCTTTATCGAGTACACAGACGACACGTTTATCACTCCAAAGAATCGCACTGAAGATGAAATCCATCTTGGTTCGTTGGGACCTGTTGTCCGTGGAGAGGTTGGAGACACTATAAAGGTGGTCTTTCGCAACAAGGTCAGTTTAACGTCGGCTTCACGAATTAATAGGCCTGTAATTAGCTCTACCTAATATATCAGTAGGCGCATTCGATTCATGTAAGTTCACCTAACGGTAACCTTTATTAAACCAAACTCCTACGATAAATGGTGTACAACATGTATGTCTTATCCCAGGCATTTTCACAATTTCTAACGTGTTTGCAGCATCTATGTACTAATTCGCGAGCGTGCTTACACATACAAAAAGATCATTCTCTCTCGCAAACATGAATGGCGCTCGCTGTTTTTTTGCGATGTAAAATGCGCTTACTTAATGCAGAATTGCGGAAAAACTTTTAAGTAATATAGAGTGTAAATTTTAGGCGTCAAGAAACTACAGTGTTCATCCAATCGGATTGCTTTATAACAAATCTAACGAAGGAGCATTGTATGAGGATGGTACATCCGGGAAGGACAAGGATGATGACGAAATAAGGCCAAACGGAACGTTTACATACAAGTGGACTATACCCGAGGAAATGGGTCCCAGAGATACAGACGCACAGTGTTTAACCAGAATGTACTTGTCAAGTGTGAACCCAACGAAGGACAGATATTCAGGTACGCACTGAGTCATGACAGAATTCATGACTGCGTATAGATAACGCGGTGGCCTAGGTATAGCCTACTGGACGTCGTTTTGTGTTTTTCTCTTGGGCAAGACACTTCACTAATTACTAGTTGAATTATTTAGGAATTGTCACTAGCAGACTGTCAGAGAGATCTAAGTAGATGCTGGCGAAGACAGTGGGGGTGGGAGTGGGGGTGAAGGAGAGTAAACCTGCAGTAGACCAGTATCCTACACGAGAGAGGCAGGCGTGACTCTTAGTCACTGAAATTTCCATAAACCAGAATATTTTCTAGCAGCTATATTTGTGAATCAATCTCTTCAGACTCCTCTGTCTCTTCCTTTGAGCTCGATATTCAAATGAAAGTTTTATACGTAATACTGAAAAACATGTGGCGAAAATTTTCGTTTTGTTCTCTGTAGGACTGATGAATTGGCTGAGATAAGTCGAGTGACGCCCAGTTCCTAGAGGTTTCCTTCTTAGAAGTCTTTCGCTGTAGTTGTTGCCACCATCATGGATGCGCCATTTTCTCGTATCTTTATAAGCTACGGAATTTATTGAATTTTTTATTTTTCCTGCTTTTAGGTCTTTTTGGTCCCTTGCTGATCTGCAAGAAAGGAAGTTTGGACTCCAAAAACAAGCAAAAGAATGTGGATAAGGAGTTTGTTCTACATTTTGTTGTTACCTTAGAAAAAAATTCCTGGTACTACGATGATAATAAGGAACTGGCCGGCGATCCATCCTCTATAGACGAAAGTATGTATTCATTAGGACTGTACTGTAACGTCATAGGCTTTTAAAAAATTTTCTTTTGTCATATTCTACTTATCACACGTTGCTTGCTGAGAGAAAGCGCTGGAAAAAATTGTTGTGTCGCCTTTATTGAGGAAAGATTTACTGTGTGAGAGAGCATGTCAAGTTCTCTGGTTAATGCTCAGTCTACCATAAACCTTTGGACAGATGTCAACAACTATTTGCAGTACAGAAACGACTTAAACATGACCTTATCGTGACCAAATTATCGAGCAGAATGACTCTGCTATGGTGTACTTTATTGTATCTGTCGATCAACCAATCGGTCAGGCGATGAATCATTCAATGAATAAATTTTTTACATTTTACTTCATTGTAAGGTGTGCCTTTATCATGAAATTGTTGTTGTTTTTTAGGTGACGTGGCTTACATTAACAGTAACAAAATGCATGACGTTAATGGATATGTTTTCGGCAATCAACAAGGTCTGCGCATGTGCAAAGGAGACCGTGTGTCGTGGCACATCATGAGCGGAATATTGATGCACAGCCCCTATTTCTATGGCAACACGGTCACCTTTAATGGCAAAAGGGCAGATGCTGTGGGGCAAATACAAGGTGTGGATTGTCAAAACATATAAACAAGGGGTCAAACAAACAAACCAATTATAAAGGAGTAATACAACGGCCGTCAAAGTTCGGAATGTTTGCTTCACTGCAAATAAAATGACTAGATACAGAAAAGTGTTTACTCGCATGAGTTGAAACATTCTATCAGTTCATGCGCTCATTTGTTGAAATCTTCAGTCTTCAGTTGTAAAGTACGCCTAATTCATGTAGTTGTTGTAAATAGCCTGATTTGAAAAGGCAATGAAAAAAAGGAACAAGTTCAGAGAGGCTGCTTAGCTTTTGAATTGGCATCAATCTTTATGAGTGATTAACTCATTCTAACAAAATATTATTTGTTTTCGAAGTGACCGAATCTTCAGAAACCACTGAAAATGTTTTTGTTTGCTGTCCATAGGATCTTTCGCAACAGTTTACATGAGTCCAGATGACCCTGGGCAATGGGAATTAGTTTGCAAGACAACAAGTCATTTAACTCTTGGAATGCAAACAAAATACACGGTCCTTGACAATTGTGGGAACTCTTCATCAGAGCAGACTACTGGTAAGGTGAGGCGTTACTATATCGCTGCTGTGGAGGAGATCTGGGACTATGCACCTACTGGTCGAGACATCTTAGGAGGAAAACCGCTGGAAGAAAGCGAGTGAGTGGTTCACTGCTGAGATAAACACCCGATTGCAAAAACACTTACGCCTAAAAAGCATCATCCATGAACGATGAGACCTTGCGGCTTCATGGGAAATGTTAGCACACTTACAGAAACAGTGCTTCACTTTTTCCATTATTCATGGCAAATCTTGGTTCATGATAATTCTTTCCCTCCAAGAAAGCGTGGATGGCTTCTGTCATTTACCACGTGCAATTCAACTAATTGTGGTTATCATGTACATATGTACCCATAAAGCCGTTGGGTCTCGTCGTTAGACCTGTCCCGGTTGTGGTAGCTTTTGAGCAAGTTTTGACATTTGGAGCAGCTTTCTGCGATTCTAGCAAACTCGAGAAATTTTTGCCTACATGAGCAATTTTGAGCAAAATGTAATCAACGATTTGATAGAAAACTTCAATTTATGCGAGTTTCTTGAATGTTTATCAACCTTTGTAACACATAACCAGTCACTTGACAGCGTTTTGTAGGCCTATATATATACAAAAGTGGGGGTAGAGTCTACCTTGGCATAAAGTGCTCAATGCTGTGGTAGCAGAGCTGGGTATATATAAGTGAAAGAATCAAAGGGGATGCATCGATTCTCTGTTACTCTGAGTTTCGCGCCTAAGCGCTCGTCAGACAGAACTTGCGGTATATATATATATATATATATATATAATTATAGACAGACATCAAACGAACCACTTGTTTTGTTCCGTTTGACTTAAAACTAATAACAAATAGATTCCACTTTCCAAAATTTTTGTTCAGCTAAAGATCTTTAGAAGCTCCTGAAACTTGATAAATATCGCGTTATAGATTGTAATTATTATATAGACCATCTTAAGTACTTAATAGACCTTTTATTCCACATATACACTTATTTTTTCCGTTCAGTCGATGTAAATTAAATTTCTAATTTCACGTTTATTTTCAGCGAAGCCAAATCATACACCACTAATGGTCCAAAACGCATCGGTCATAAATACAAGAAAGCGCGTTTCCATGAATTTACAGATGACACCTTTACAACGAAGAAGGAAAGAAAGACTGACTATGAAAAACACCTTGGAATTATGGGGCCAATCATTAGAGCGGAGATTGGAGACACAGTGGAGGTTGTATTGAAGAATATGGCCACGAAAAGTTATTCGATTCATCCCGATGGATTATTCTACAAGTAAGCAAGGACAGCTTGATATTCAATTGACTTGTTTTCTATTTTCTTATCGCGGCTCATAGCCTTGGCATCAGACTTCACAATTGCTCTTGATAATGTCGTCCGATCGACTTCACTTGGAACTTTGGATTGGCCAGAAACGAACTGAAAAAACTATTATGGTGAACTTTAACTGAGCGTGGGTCAAGAAATTAACTCTCTTATGCAGATTCTTGTTTTGCGGAGAGCTGTTTTACTTCAAATTTTTGCTCTATTATATCTTTTTGACAGGAAAAAGTATGAAGGTTCGAATTATCAAGATGGGACCACAGGGGATGACAAAAACGATAACGCAGTCGCCCCTGGGATGCAGTTCAAATATGTGTGGCAAGTCCCTGAGCGAGCAGGACCAACACTGAATGAAGACGACTGTTTGGCGTGGGCATACTTCTCTGATGCACATGCGGTGACAGACTTCTACACCGGACTGGTTGGACCGCTTCTTGTTTGTAAAAAGGTATACAATGATCCAACAATGCGGAAAATGACACTTAATCAGAGTGCTAAATTGAAGCTTCAATTTTGACTTTCTTTGTGTTAAACTTTGCCGAAAAAAAGCGTATTTTCCGTATTTTTAAGGGGGCTTTTATGATCTTCAGCGAAACAGACATTCGGGAAAATGGAATCTTTTTGTTTTTGATTTTTCTTTCAACAACAGGGAACACTTACAGAAGAAAATTCTCGTCGGGGCGTGGATCGAGAGTTCTTTCTGCTTTTCGCCACATTTGACGAAAACAGGAGCTGGTATCTGGACGATAACATTAATGAATACTGCTCGGATCCAGGCCCTATTGATGAACTGAAGAGCGATCCTGGGTTCCAATTGAGCAACCAGAACTACGCAATCAATGGTTTTCTGTATGGAAATTTACAAGGCCTTGAAATGTACAAAGGAGAGAAGGTGGAATGGTATCTAATGGGTCTTGGAGACTTGACAGATGTCCACACAGTACATTTTCATGGACAGACCTTCCTTTATGTAAGACACAGTAATAACGCCTATGGGTTGTATCCTTGAAGATTAAGTCACCAGTCATTCTTTATCGCCTGGGTGGGGTAGGGGAGTGGAGGGGGGGATTCGAGGATTTTGGCGGGATCGCTTAATTTTCAGGGAGAACGGAGTGGGGATCAGTCGTGGCCAACAGAGTCTAAAGGAAGGACAATATGAAATTAACCGCCAATGGGAGGGGGATTCATAAGAATATAATAGAAACTTATAGGGGACGGGGAGATCATAAGAATATAACAGAAACTTATAAAGGGGGGGGGAGATCATGAGTTGCGTAAATCAATATGGCGGACGGTCACGTTTTTAGAGCTCTTAGATGCTGGATCATTCTGCTTTATTTCTACGTTTGTTTCTCTGGTGCACTCCTTCCCAAGGCTAATCCTGACCTCGATATATCTGGTGATACTCTTCTCTTCATTTCTCACGGTCTGACGACAGTGAGAATTCAACCTTTTAACCATCGGTCACCGAGCTCGCAACATGCAAAGAATCTCCAGTTGCCGAATTCAAGACTTCTACTCCTTGGATGCCGTTTTGCGATTAATTCCTCTCTTTCCTTACTACTCATTCGTCTCGCAAATGATGTTGAACTTCAACCTGGTCCTGTTGGCTCCTCTAGTTCACATGACATCCTGTCTGATCTTCGGGATTTGTCAACGAAAAATGGGCTTACAATTATTCATCAAAATATCAGAGGCCTCGTGGCGAACAGGGATAGTCTATGCCAAATGATCGATGATTCCAAGCATATAGACATCATATCCCTCAGTGAGACTCATCTATCGGACAGTGAAGAGGCTCAAGTTCAACTGGATGGCTATACGTTCATTAATAGACCAAGGAAAACAGGCAAAGGTGGAGGTGTGGGAGTTTATATCTCCTCTTCTGTCCCCTTTCATAGAAGACTAGACCTGGAACGCGATGGGATCGAATGTATCTGGATAGAAATTTTATTTCCAAAATCTAAGGGTATCCTTATTGGTTTTATTTATCGCCCCCGAGTTCTTCAAAGCATCTTTGTGCAGATTTTGAAAATAAACTGGAGTCGATGCTTTCTGCTGTATCATCTGAAAACAAAGAATGCATTTTGACAGGCGATATCAACTGCAACTATTTGGTAAGCTCAGACAACAAAGAACTGAAGGCAATGCTATTGTCTTTTGGCCTTAAACAGCTAATCAAGGATCCCACGAGGGTAACGCAAGATTCAAAAACACTGATAGATGTGATTTACACAAATCGCCCTCAGAATGTTTATAGTGTTAAAGTCATTCCCGCCGGCTTAAGTGACCATGATATGATTGGTTGTGTCCGGAAGCTGCATAACCATAAATTCCAGCCAAGAACCATCACCTGTCGAAACTATGCTAATTATGATCCTATATCCTTTTGCAATGATTTACGGTCCAATAGTTTCACACCTGTCTTTAAATCCTCCTGCGTTAATGAAGCATGGTCTTTTTGAAGCCATTCTGAAAGAATGTATTGATAAGCATGCGCCAGCTATAAAGAAGAGGATCAAAGGGAAACTCAGCCCATGGCTTACACAGAAGGTAAAGCAAGAAATGAATACCAAAGATCAGCTTTTGAGAAAAGCGAGAAAGACAAATCGTGAAATTGACTGGTCTTCGTACAAGCGCCAACGAAACAAAGTTAACGGTATGGTAAAAATTGCAAAAGCAGGTATCACCGTGAACTCTTAGAGGAGACTGTGGGTTCACCTAACAAATTTTGGTCAGCTATTAAAAAACTATACCCTACAAAGTCTACAAAGGAACCAGGAGCAGCTTTTCTCGTTAATGAAGCAGTAGAAACCGACAAAGAGGTTATTGCAAATTTGTTCTGCAAATTCTTCACTGATGTTGCGCGATCTCTAAAAAGAAAGATCTTCCCTCTTTGCAATTTTGTCTGGAAAAGGCCCCTTACAATAGACACCCAGCAGCCGCTAGAGAACTTTGAGTTTAGATCAGTCTCGGAAAAGGTTGTCTTTAATGCATTAAAGAGCCTTAAGAGAAATAAGTCCTCTGGCCTTGACAACTTTCCTTCTGGAATGTTAAAGGACTCTGCTGATATAATAGCCAAGCCTCTCACGCATATAATTAACCTGTCTCTCGCAACAGGGTCTGTACCTACTGACTGGAAAGCGGCTAAAATTGTACCACTTTTTAAATCTGGTTCAATGGCCGAAATCGACAATTATAGGCCTATTTCAATACTTCCCTCAATGTCAAAGATCCTGGAGAAAGTGGTATTTAAGCAGCTGATGGCTCATTTTGAACAGAATGGTCTACTTTCTCATTTTCAGTACGGCTTCCGTCGCATGCGCTCTACTGAACTGGCCGTTACTCATCTTACCGATGTTATCAGAAGAGAAGGTGAGAATGGTAACCTGACAGGCTGTGTTTTCATCGATCTATCCAAGGCGTTTGACACCATCAGTCACTCTGGCCTCCTGAGCAAGCTTTCAACTTACGGAGTTCGTGGAACAGAACTCGCATGGTTCACTGATTACCTTTTCTGCAGATCACAAGTTGTCCAATATAAAGGCGTGCTATCAGAACCTCAACCCATTCTCACAGGTGTTCCTCAGGGAAGTATCCTGGGTCCTATCTTATTCATTATCTTTTTCAACGATGTACATAAACCGCTTCAACACTCGAAGATTATCACTTATGCCGACGATTCAGTCATCTATACCTCTTCTAAAGATATTGATACTATACAGAGAAGCCTTAGCGAGGATATGAATAACCTGTGCGAGTGGTTTAAAGACAACGAACTGATCATTAACCTAAAAAGGACAAGACGGAGTCTATGTTATTTGGAACAGCTAAAAGAATCAACCTTCAAGACAAGGAACTTAAACTTTCTGCTAATGGGTCACTCATCAATAATACCTCTACCTATAAGTACTTAGGTGTTCACCTTGACTCATCACTAAACCTCGCATCACATTTTGACCGAATCTATAAAAAGCTGCAACCAGAATCAATCTCTTGCGATCAATTCGTCCTTTGATCGACCAAAAGTGTGCAGAATCGATCTATAACACTATGATCGCACCTATCTTTACCTATTGCGGAACACTTGGTCTTAGCTTTCCGGATTACCGAAAGGAAATGATAAAGAACATCGAACGACGAGGCTTTAAAGTTATCGGCAATAGTTCTTTTAATCCCCATCCGTGAACAATTTGATCAAGCGTAAAAGCTGTCTGTTTGTTTTCGACTGTCTCCTGAATAATGTTTGCACACCCTTTAAGAACTACTTCGAAAGGCTGGTTCATTCTAAGGCCACTAGGAATAACGGTATATCAGTGAAATTACCCAAAGTTCGTTTAGAATTTGGTAAAAAGAGCTTCTATTACCAAGGAGCAAAGACTTTCAACAACCTGCCTGCTGAACTAAGGTCGTTAGATTCGAGACTGAAATTTAAGAACAAATTGCGAGATTATTTTAGTTAAATTCTATCTAAACGTGGTTATAGGTATCTTTTTCAGAGTATTTTTATTTAATTTTTAATTTTTTCATTTTATTGTATGCTTTTCTAGACCTTAAGATCAATGATTATATCTTGTTAAATTTTATTTTATTTATTTATTTATTATTTTTGACAGGACCCCAAGGACAACAGTGTTACACACTGATGGGTTTCAATCCTGTATAAAAATTCGTTATTATTATTATTATTATTATTATTATAAGAATATAACAGAAACTTATAAGGGGGGGGAGATCATAAGAATATAACAGAAACTTATAAGGGGGGGAGATCATAAGAATACAACAGAAACTTATGATAGGGAAGATCATAAGAATATAACAGAAACTTATGGGGGGGAGATCATAAAAATACAACAAAGCCTTAAGGGGAGGGGACCATAAGAACTAAAAGAGCCTTGTGGGAAGGGATCATAAGAATATCTCAGAACCTCATGGGGAGGGGGAGTCAGAATATAACAGAGCCTTATAGGAGGGGGATCAGAATATAACAGAGCCTTATGAGAGGGGGGTCAACAATACAACAGAGCCTTATGGGAGGGGGATCAGAATATAACAGTGCCTTACGGGAGGGGGGGTCAACAATACAACAGAGCCTTATGGGAGGGGGATCAGAATATAACAGAGCCTTATGAGAGGGGGATCAGATTATAACTGAGCCTTATGAGAGGGGGATCAGAATATAACAGAGCCTTATAAGAGGGGGATCAGAATATAACAGAGCCTTGTGAGAGGGGGATCAGAATATAACAGAGCCTTATGAGAGGGGGATCAGAATATAACAGAGCCATATGAGAGGGGGATCAGAATATAACAGAGCCTTATGGGAGGGGGATCAGAATATAACAGAGCCTTATAAGAGGGGCATCAGAATATAACAGAGCCTTATGAGGGGGGGATCAGAATATAACAGCGCCTTATGGGAGGGGGATCAGAATATAACAGAGCCTTATGAGAGGGGGATCAGAATATAACAGAGCCTTATGGGAGGGGGATCAGAATATAACAGAGCCTTATGGGAGGGGGATCAGAATATAACAGAGCCTTATGAGAGGGGGATCAGAATATAACAGAGCCTTATGAGAGGGGGATCAGAATATAACAGAGCCTTATGAGAGGGGGATCAGAATATAACAGAGCCTTATGAGAGGGGGATCAGAATATAACAGAGCCTTATGAGAGGAGGATCAGAATATAACAGAGCCTTATGAGAGGGGGATCAGAATATAACAGAGCCTTATGAGAGGGGGATCAGAATATAACAGAGCCTTATGAGAGGGGGATCAGAATATAACAGAGCCTTATGAGAGGGGGATCAGAATATAACAGAGCCATATGAGAGGGGGATCAGAATATAACAGAGCCTTATGGGAGGGGAATCAGAATATAACAGAGCCTTATGAGAGGGGGATCAGAATATAACAGAGCCTTATGAGAGGGGGATCAGAATATAACAGAGCCTTATGAGAGGGGGATCAGAATATAACAGAGCCTTATCAGAGGGGGATCAGAATATAACAGAGCCTTATCAGAGGGGGATCAGAATATAACAGAGCCTTATGAGAGAGGGATCAGAATATCACAGAGCCATATGAGAGGGGGATCAGAATATAACAGAGCCTTATGTGAGGGGGTCATAAGAATAAAACAGAACCTTATGGGATGGGATCGCAAGAAAATAACAGAGCCTTATTTGGGGAGGGGAAGGTCATAAGAATACAACGGAGCGTTATGGGGAGAGGATATTCAGAATATTTCAGAGCCCTATGGGAGGGGATCATTAGAAAATGGCCGAGCCTTACTGAGGGGAGGGGTCATTAGAATTCAACAGAGCCTTAGGGGAGGGAGTCATAAGAATATAACAGAGCCTTATGAAGGGGGGGGGGGCATGAGAATACAACTGAGCCTTATGGGAGGATCAGAAAAATTTTATCTTTACACAACTAAAAAACTTAACCCCCTCCTACCTCTCCCTTTTCGCCCACTTAAAAAAAAGGGTGAAAGGTCTCTTAAGGCCTATTTACACGGCACGACTTTGTCGCATGCGACAAGCTTACGACAGGCCTACGACATGACTTAAGAGTCGTAACCGAGTTGTAGGTTTGATTTACACGAAACAATTCGTGTCGTAAGCCTGTCGTAAGCTTGTCGCATGCGACAAAGTCGTACCGTGTAAATAGGCCCTTAGGGGATATCAAACAGATGCAGACAATACTCCCGCTAAACTCAACATACTTAGGGCCATTTATGATTAGAAAAAAAGTAGAGAACATTGATCTATTGTCCAGGAAAAACACTCGTTGAAATTTGTCATTATTCTCGTACCTCGACCTTCCACAGCCAGTTACACGGCAGGATCTGAGTTCGAGGTTAATTTGTTGTCTGAAAGTTGATTTGTGAATAGTAATACGCTTCAACAGAGGATAACAGATTGAAAAAAAAAATTCGATACCTTAAGTGACTCACTTGTTTTTATTATATTAGGAACCCATTGAAAGGCTCCTGTTGCATTGAATACTTCGACTGTCTAAAACCTCGGCAAACCCTTTCGAATATAAGGCTCTTGTTCTCTTATACTACGTGGTTTCTCAAGCTGGGATGTTTGGTTCTGTTTCCTTTCTCTCTACCGCAGAAATCGACCACAATGCACCGAGAGGACGTTTATGACATTTTCCCAGGAGTCTATGCTACCGTGGAAATGATGCCCGACAGCGTAGGAGACTGGTTACTACACTGTCACGTGAACAATCACTTGGCAGGCGGAATGGAAACACTTTTCTCAGTCATGGAAGCGACTGGTAAGTGCTCATTCTACATTAGCACGCTCGCTTAGACACTTGTGCAGTGATTTTAAAACGACACTTACTTGGCTGTTAACTACGCCCTGTTAAGTAAATGACTTGATAATACCTTTCGAGTCTTGTCTTTAATTCTTTTGTTGTTGTTGTTGTTAGTTAGTTGTATTTAACGTGTTTATTGGAAGTTTGAAACTAATGTAAATTTAGGGATTAAAGTGTGAAGTCTTGATGTTTCTTTTTCCGTTTTTTGTTCTATAGATAAGCCAACAGTTTACAGCACGGCTTCCAAAGCAGAATTCGACAGAATAATTTTCACGACCCTACGTGTTTTCATTTTGTTTTTGCTTGCTGCTTGATCCCACAGTTCCTGGTTTTTCGATCAAAACGAGTTTCAGATGATGTTTTGAACCCTTGGGTCTTTCTCAAGCAGCTAAGTAATTCAAACATTTAACATATAAAGTGTGTTACAGTAACCAGTGAGTTTTCACTTCCATCAAGTGGAAGAATCTAGACATTTGTTCTTTTTTAGCTTTCATAAGCGTCTCGGAGTTTCTCAGGTTTTTAGAAGTTTCATGGAGTCCATCGTTTTTTAAACGTCAGAATGATCATTTGGAACACTGAGTAATTTGTTAGTTCTTTGAATGGTATTGTATTACTTGCAAATTAGTTGACGTTTGTAAATTGTAATCAGCTGTTTTCTTTTAGAGTAAAGGAAAGAGTGCACTTCAAGATGTTTAATTCATTGTTATTGTTAAAACATGTTTAAAACAGGTAACCTTTTCGCCAAGCATGTCGCAAGCGAATCGTGAGCGAATTGCATGTAAACCGCAAGAAAACCGCTGACAAACGGCGCGTAAAGCGATAGCAAGTGGCAAGAGACCCAAGCAGTCATATCTGTAGTTAGCCTGCACGACTATGCGCCAATGTCTGGTGTGGAAATCCCTATTGGTAAAACAAAACAGAAAGCAAAACAAAGCATAACTGTAGCTAACGCTAAGCCACAAGGGACACCTGGGTAATTTTCCGAGTTTCTTAGCGCGCATTTCCCAAAAGCACGTGTGCGGGCAAAGTGTGGTGCGAACGTCAGATTCCCAGCAGTCAAAGTCGTCTTGTTAGTTTTGAACTTAAATGGAGCGTCTTCTTTAGATTCCTTAAGATTAGATCAGTCTACCCTCGTTGCTGGACAAAGTTTTACGGTTCGTTCTGTATCCTGCTGAGGAAATCAGAAAAGTTGTAATTCTGCCAGCTTGTATTCGTGAATTGTTTGGATTTAATTTGAATCTATTTATCGTTGAAGGGTCCCCGATAACAATAACAAAAAACAAGGTAAAGCTTTAGCCATGAAAACGGCTAAGCCCATCGAGTTACTACAAGTATAAGGCAAAACAGCAACATGATTTAAGAAAGAGTATAAATTGTTCTTTAATTCAGATTGTCTCGTAAACCTGAAGGCTTGTCTAAACTCGTATAATGCTGGCACATTTGTCTAACATATGTGCCATTTAAAAACCTATTTTGAAGCACCTTTCAAAACTTTGTGATTTGGGTCTTTGTAAATGTGTAAAACACCTAATACTACAATATCAATATATAGGGATAAAAAATGCTTCTGTAAATAATCATTAGGTTTTGGTGTTCACTAATTCACCTAAATCACAATTTAGATTTGTTGTATATAAATATAGATGTAAATATTTGAGGGGTGAATACATTACAGAAATATGCCGGTAATACAATTGAAAATAGAGTGCAGCATTATTACCTTTCGGCATCTGAATGTGTGAAAATAGATTTTAAGTATCGAGAACTCTCTGCTTCAAAATAAGGTTTCTTTGTAATAATTATTGTGAGGAATTCAGAATGCTGTAAGTATATCATAAATTTGAGTTTCATAAATATCAAAAGACAATTTTAAAGTTACCTAGTAGCACAAGAAAAACCAACTACTTTGGTGTTAACTTTCTTGCAAAGTGCAACAATAGTTTTTTAAAAAATATCACCCAGTTACATAGAAATTTTTTAGCAGAAAGAATAGTCTTGCTATTCAGTGAGTGAATCTGACAAATTTTAAAAGGTGTTTTAATCCATCGCACTCAGTATGATCGATAAATCTCCATTCTATTCGTTAGACATTTCCTAACATGGAACCTATAAAAAGAATCTGGACTTGTTTCACGACAGTATCGAAAAGCTGAAAACTTTCCCTCAACTAATCCCTCTTCTGCTTGACTGTGAATGGATTTCTAATTGAAGTTACAGTCGGGATGATTAACAATTTATTTCTTATATATATATATATATATATATATATATATATATATTAACAGAAACTAAACAAACTAGTATTTTGGTCCTTTTCTGGTATATTCTGAAACAATTATTCGGTAAAGGCCGGTAAAGGGAGTGAAAAAAATTTTTCCATAGACACATGATAATAGATTTTCAAAAAAATTGTATACGAACAAATCAATTTCTTGTATTTGAATAGTTTGACTAATGTGTCAATGGCTGAAACTGAGTTCAAGACGAGTAAGTTCGACGATCACGTTTCATTCCTCGTTTATCACTTGTGACGTCACTTACCCCGGGCTGACTGCTGTGGCAAATATTTCCCAGGTAGGTCACCTCCACATGCTTTCCTCTTTCTTTCCTGATCACAAATCGCACCTTCACGTTGCATTCTGGTCGCTTGCATTCCGCGCCTCCCCTGAAGAATACTGCTGAGTGGATTTTCCGAGAGTTTTCTGATCTCACGTGATTATTTTTGAAGCGTAAACTGCACCATGGGTTGCTTTCTTTGACTTTGCTGAGGAAGATTCGTGTCCAGTCGCCACTCAACAATCGGCCACCGCTGGGGAATGTGTTGATCGGAATTCTTGCCCAGTCCTCTTTGGACAACTTAAATCTTGCTGTAGTACCATCGATCTCCTTTCGGAAATACTTGTCTCTTTTTCCGTTTTCATCATCATCAGAAGAATCTGAATCGTCCGAGTAATCCTGGGAACAACCAAAAAGCTCCTTTAACCATTTACCTCCCATGAGTGACGAAAAGTGAATTTCTCCTTACAATATCAATACAATATCAAGCATAGATGTGATGAGAATAAAGTAAAATATCAATTAGGGGATTATTAATTGATCCAATACCAAATTCTCCAAATTGACATCATAAGAATTGTATGGCAGACAGTTAGGAGAATTACTAATGAGATCTTGGGAGTCAAAGGGTTAACAGGTCTGACAAATACATTCAGACAAAGGAACACATACCCCATTTTTACATATGTGGGCTTTGTTTTCCTTTGAGGGCTTTAAGGACTGGAAATCGACGAAATAAGGAGTTCACACATGCAAACCTCGTTTAGCTCTTCTACACTTTTGGAAATCATTAAAATTACTTGGTGAAATAGATACATTACATGACAGACATTACTATGTGAAAATAAGCCTACATCGTTACATTTCAGAAACAATCACATACCATACTATTATTCAAGCCATCTCTGTTGGACCAGTTTCCTCCCTGATTCTGTGAATTCAGCTTGTGAGTCGATGTATCAACCTGTTTTTAGGCAAGAGGAAAGATTGTGGTCATTTACATGATTGAACTCCCAAGCTTAAAGATTATCTGTGGATTATGAACATCAAGAAATTTTATCCACGTTTGATAACAAAGGAAACATCATCTAAGATACTGACATATCAATAAGTGTTTTACAAAAATCTGACAGTATGACTTTATGGGCCAAAAAGTCCCACTTCAATTTAAGACATTTCTATTCTTAGACAATTCTTAATGGATAAGTGTTTTCCAAAGATGCAGCACTCATCAAGAAAGTTTACTGAAAGAATTTGTGAATGGGCAGAAAGGATTGTCCTCATTCAATTCAATTTTTGCATCCAGTGACTATGTTGGCTAAGAAGTTACACCTCAATTTCAGACACTTTTGGATCAGTTTTCAGTGGGATGTCACTTCGCTGTCATAATACTGAGTAGAAACGTCCCTCTGTCTGAAGCTAATTCCACATTTTGTTACCTCCAGTGGTAGATGAGACATCCCAGGATCATTGCTGCTCCAGCCAACAGGGACCATGATAACTGAGGGTCGAGGGTTCTTCAAATCTGCTGCTGGATATTGACGAGATGGGATATTTTGCCCATGGCAGCAACAATTACAATTCCTTGCCTTCTGGTTGTTTGGAACCAAATCACGGGATTCTGTTGGCCACACTGGAATTCTTTGTTGAAATTCTTGAAAGCTGTATCCACGAGGGTACATTGGCATACCATTGTAGTACTTGATCTCATTATTCTTATCCTTTGCCCAGTCTCCTGTTTGGGGAGTCGTTACTTCTTCAAAGTGGTAAAGAGGCACAGTGGATTTCAGAGAAGCTGATGAGGGCGAGCCGTTGGTATCCATTTGGTTAGATGTACTCTTCTCAGAGGTTCCATTTTTATAGAAAGACCCTTGGCTATCAAGTTGGTGTGCTGAATTGCTACTCGTGTGGTGGTTCTGTTGATAGCAGTGAGCTCTCTCGCTGGGATTATGCTGCTGGATTGGGATCTCCTTTTCTTCCTTTTCGATCTTATTTAATGTCTCCCTATCATAAACTGGCGAATTGTTAACTTGAGACGGAATATCAACCTCAGCAGTAAACCCGTTTTCGTGTGAAATCAAATGATCGGGAGGTTTTTCCTCATGGAAATGTCCTACAGCTGAGACTTTATCCTGGTTGACGAAATCAAACGTTGGAGATTGCTCTCCTTGGCTGGTCAGTCCATCCACTGGATTTTCGATCTGATAGACGGGCATAACATTGTTCTCCACAATTTGATCGCACATTGCTCCTTGCACGTTGCTAATTTGTATGTTGAGTATATCTTCTTGAGTATTTACGTCTCTAAGTAAGGGTATTTCTTGGATTGATTCCCTTGACATTGAAATGGTTTGGTGACTGATTGTATTGCTCTGTGCCTCTGATATTTCCACCTTAACCACTGGCATCTCACACGTAGAAATTATTTGATTGCAATGTCCATTTTCTGGAATTTCAATCTTTACACAGCCAATCGGCATGTCATTCAAAGAATACATATTGTAAACACTCACAAAACCCTCAAAGACGAAAATTATTTCAGATCGTAGTTCTTCTTTTTCCTGTCCTGATAACAGCGAACGACAAAATAGTCAAAGTAGGATGTCAAAGGCGATCTGAAACGTGAATAAGAGAGGAAATAGTTAAAGGATGCCTGACTACTTTCATCGATGAACAAGACGAAGTCAACAGCCAAATATCTTAACAAATCCCAACGCTTTAATGATTCCAGATATTGTTCTTTTGTCTAAGAAGGCAAACAGGCTTTGTCAGTCTTAAAGGTGGATATTTGAACAAAAGGTCGGAATAACTTCGCAAAGAAGTCGACTTTATGCGACTTCTTCGATCAGAAAAATTCGATCGCGAGGAACAAATTTTTTCGAAATATTCCTAATGTAATTCTATACGGAGCGAATGGTCCTTCAGTTACCATCCGTATCTGCCTTGTGTCGTTACAAATTATCTGCTAGAGTTTCCTGACCTTAAAAGTCGACATAAACGCAGAAACAATGAGGGCAGTTGGCTAAATCCTTATTTATTCCAGCGCTAAAATTGCATTATAATGGTTTTGCTAACTATTTTAAGCTAAGTGCTTAAGATAAGATTTAAGCATACTTGACGTGCGCACCGTTTATTTTGCGCCGATAAATGAGCAAGTAAAAAATCTACAGAGATCGGTTTGGTGAAATACTCAAATCGTAGAAACATTTCCTGAATTTTCTTACTAATTATTGGGTAAATAAATACCCTTAAGGGTCACTGATACCTTAAAACAACAACAACGAGAGAGCTTAAAGTAAAGAGTAAAGGGATCGTAGTTCGCTGTAAAACTATTTGCATTTGCACGTCATCCTTGACCTTCAACAATGATTTTTATTTTTACTGAGTTAAGAAGGTTAAGGAGAGCACATCTGCAGGTGTTAGTAACATACTACTGAAAGCCATTACCATTCATGGCATATCAACTCCATTCAACCCTTAACAGGCCATCTGCACTAGCTGTGCCTGTTGTCGTAACGTTCAGAAGGGTAAACATTCAATCAATTCTGTTTCTGACGCGTCGTGGAACGCCTCGTAAACCTATACTGAGACTGTAAATAAGAATATGTGTTTTTGTGCGTTGTGCCGGCCACGAATTTCCTTAGGGGTTTCAATATCGAGTGTTAACATTCCTCTCTTTAATTTGATTTCAGTTAGATGAACTCCCTTTTATGCAAATAACACAATGTATGGTCTTTTTAACGGAATAGCTTCGATCTCGAGGTTGTAGAGCTCTCCGAGAGCACTAAATAACTTAAACTTTGTGCTAATGTCAAGAAAAGCGACGCCAGTAACTGGCAAAAACGAGAGCGGCCGATATTCGCCCACTAATTCCCACGAGATAAAACACTTACCGAAGTTTCGAAGGACTAATGATGAAAAATCTGTCAGAATCTCGAAGACTTCTCTACACATTTGTTTAAAACAGACTCTATCTTAACTAAGTCGTTTGGCCACATGATCTACGTGCTCACTTGTAACATCTTTTCCAGCGCAGTACGGCTAGTTGTAGGTGAAATATGGAATATTTCGCGCCTCCGCGTGACCGATTTCACGAATAAACAAGCAAAGGTGTTCGTGTCTTATTCTGAATCGACGTGGAAGAATATTTACGGACCTAGCACCCAATTAATTACTTATAATTCTCCGAGTGACATTTTGACCATTGTTTAAATGGTACCAGTCATTTTCCGAGCGGTAACAATAGTCTTCGAGTTTAAAGGATATTTAGTGAACATCACATTTAAGTCGCGATAATGCTAATTAATACCATTTTTAAAGTTGAATATTCCTGGTGGTGGAGCATATTGGCCAACCTACTTTCAGAGAGCTTTGGGGCAAAGATGATGTTCTTGAAACTTTTACTGACCTATTCGCCTTATGTCGTTATCATTTTGTGTCAAGCCGCGCCGCTTGGACAGCTAATGTAAGGAGATTTTTTCCATACAACTTACCAGTAACTCGAAACTCGTTGGTGATACAACAACACAAGTCTCTGGCTTCAGCAGGTCAAGTTTCTTTTGTCTTTTTATTCTTTTGTTCTATCTTGTTTTCGTTAAAATAAATGAAGGCACTTCAAAAGGCCATTATGCAAATTTTTTGTTATCTTATACGAAGCGCCTTCGGGGTTATTTGGCGTCCTAGCAATGTGTTAACCAAACTCTTTGGAAGAATTGAAGCAAAACATGATCATTACAAAACTGAGTTGCTTGCATGAGTCGCTAAGATGGCCAATGTTAAGGAAGAAATAAAAACATATTAGATATAATTTTGGAATTGATGGAGTTAAACGTATGGAAATTAAAGTTCAAATTAGAATTTAGAGAGGTGCTCTGGAATCACGCAATGACAATACCTTTCATTAGCGCTGATTCAGAAAGACAAATCAAATCATGAGATGAGTTGCAAAAAAGAAAAAAAAACGTTGATATTGTCACACGCAGCAGTGTGTTTTGTTTAATGCCTGAACTATCTATGTGTATTATATTGCAGAGAATGTTATCAGCTCAAGCGAAAAAAGGTCAAAATTCTTGGCCTCGGGGCATTCTTTGCTCTCACACTTGTTGCTATGGAGCAGAATCAAAAAACTTTAGTACGTTTATCGAAACAAAACAAGACAAGGGAAGAACACAAAAAATTAAGCATATGTTCCGCAAAAAAAGGCATGCACACATGTAGAGTTCGTATTGTTTGTTCAAAACGGCGTGTTCGTAATCGTTATGATTCGCTGTGGATTTCTATTTTGGAGAGAACAATCCAACCTGATCGACAAGGGACAGATTTGAAGTAGTTGTTTGCAGATCCACCAACCATATACAGAATGCACTGACTCGAAAGCTAGAAGTTGTCATATAAGCTCTGTTGCTGACACGCAAGACCTAAAAGGTTACCGCTATTCCTGTGGCGCGGTTATCATTGCGGCTGACCTTCCAGTTTGTTTGACAGCTTCATTTGCATTCGTTACTGGCGCTACATGTGTTGTTAATTATGTCTCGTATCACAAAACAAAGCCGCTTATGCAACGCAGTGTTCAGCCAAAATTATAAAAAAAAAAGCACTGCCTTCTGTTCGGATTAATGTATCGAATAGCAAACATTGTTGTTACCTTCATAGAGTATCAATTTGACGAACTTTGGTGGTAGGAATACGATTCTATGAGTCATTCCACTACCACAGATCATTCTGTTATTAAAGTCTGTGTTACATGTCAGTGTCTTTAAAATCATCTGAATCTGAGGAATTTGACCTCTACGAAACCGAAGTTTTCTCTCTCTAGCTCTAGAAGCGAAGGTGAAGGAAAAATTTCACGACTGACGCACTATCAAGACAAGATCTGAGCTCGGTTTCAATACCACCTAACTTCAACGTGTTTAACACTTAAGTGAACTAATCTGTGTTGCATGTCTAATTTAAGAAAGGTTTCAAGCGGTTTAGCAGTAGTTCTGAGCATTTCTACGTATTGGCGGTGTAAATGCATTATTCAGGTCGTTTTGGTAATCAAAAACCACTGAAAATATGCCAAAATCAAACTCACCTTTTATCTCAAACGTCCTCCTAACACTGGGCTGCCTTCACACGCCTGACTGCCCTTATCCGCAGTGCATGGCTTGTCACTTCAGAGTGACATGCGCAGTTGGGAGTCCTAAATGAACAGCCTATTGTTTTGCATAAGCCTGTTGACAGATGAATGTGATACACTCATGAGAGGAGAATGAGAAAAGAATGTGTTAATATGTGAGTTTGGGTCTCTTTTAAACAAACCATTTTCACCGAACGAACTCATGTATTATCGAAACAAGAATGACCTAAATACTCTGTCGATGGAATATTTGTCTCTCACGTTCAAACAGAAAATATCATACGGTTTGTTAATGCAATATCAGTATCTAAAATGTAAGAAAATTTCGGATTCTATGCTTCGAGTTTAATACCTTGCTGCTTTGTATTCTGATCCGCAGTGTAAGACTACATCAAAGATATTATGCGAAGAAGCTTCGAGATAATGCTAGAGGAAATCGGCTGAAATGTTTTGTTTGTTTGTTAATGTTCAAAAAGTATCAAATTATTCGGAGAAAAAAATATGTCTTAGATGTGAAGTTCCTTCCGCTCAGTTTTCTGTTATTTATATATTTAGCTGATCAGATCTTTTATAACGCTGTGCACACTGTCAGCAGTTTTGTTTGCGGTCCTTTTGAAAGATATAATCTTAATAAGTCATGGTCTCTTATGACGAGCGTTGAACTACAATTTTAAAAAGAGGGAAATTGAAATTGCTTCTCCCGAGCCATTTCGGCAAAAAACTATCATCGGTGAAATCCTGGACAATCAGAGTTCCTAGGGCTTCCTCCTCTGGCTGTAGTTTTCCAAACACAGGGCCTCTGAATTGGTCAAGGGAGGGGAGAGGAGGGGATTGGCATATGTGAATATGGTTTATTTAGAGATCGAGGCAGCTGGTAAACTTGTTTTTCTTTTAACATCCAATTTTGTGGTAGAACAACAAAGTTTGAGCTGAATTTTTGTGCGAATCCTAATGAACCATTTCTTCTTTCTGCTTTGAAACACGCTGCAACAAAGCGTGCTGCATTAAGAAACTGTGTCATGAAAAACTCTCTGAAGCCGGGACTGAAAACGGATATGGATTTTGGAGGACAGTTTTAACAATGCCTAGGGAAATGGAATGTTTTGGGCTTTCATACAGTTAGTATATCCTTTGTGTCTACCCCTACCTACCGAAACGTACCGTCTTTCAACACTTTTCGTTATTATGGAACTCTGAAATGCTTATTTATCGAAAGCAACGCGTGAATTTCACCAAATAAGCTGACTGATTGATTGTAGATTAGTTCGTTTGACTCGTTTTTTCGTTCTTCGGGCGGTACATTCCTACGTCTCTTCTGTCCACCTCCCTTTCTCTCTTGAGTCATGTATTGCATTTAGAGTGGATTATTATTTTCACAGA